TACGGTTCGGTACTATCTGTGGTTTCAGGCATACACTGGGGTTTTGGAATGTATCCCTGAGAAGGGGGGAATGACTGTATTTGAAGATTTTTGAGAGATGCGTTTTGGAGGTGTTTGAGATTGTTGCAAGATATTTTTTAAAGAATGCCAGCAGGAAGGCGGGGGTAGGGGGATGTTGCTTCTCCAGCCACAGGGAAAAGCTTCTGGGTGGGGAGATGTCAGGTACAGCTCACCCTGCGCAGGTGGCCCCTTATATCAGCTTGCTAACGGGTTGGCAGAGAGGGCACCAGGCCGGTTGTCAGGCCTCGTCAGTACATCCTCTTTGGAGAAGTGTCTGTTCAGGCCCTTTACTCATTTTTTTAATGGGGTTGTTTGTTATTTTGGTGTTGAGTTGTATGAATTCTTGATAAATTTTGGATATTAACCCCTTATCAGATGTATCATTGGTGAATATGCTCTCCCATTCAGTGGGATCCCTTTTCATTTTGTTGATAGTTACCTTTGCTGTGCAAAAACATTTCAGTTCGATGGAGTTCCATTTGTTTCTTTTTTTCTTTTGTTTCCCTTGCCTGAGGAGATACATCAGAAAAAATATTACTAAGAGAAATGCCTGTTTTCCTCAAGGAGTTTTATGGTTTCGAGTCTTACACTTAAGTCTTTAATCCATTTTGAGTTTATTTTTGTATATGGTGTAAGAAGTTGGTCTAGTTTCATTTTTTTGCATGAATCTGTTCAATTTTCCCAACACCATTTATTGAATAGATTGTCTTTACCCCATTGTGTGTCTTGCCTCCTCTGTCAAATATTAATTGACTGTAAAGACATGGGTTTATTTCTGGGCTTTCTATGCTGTTCCATTGATCTATGTGTTTGTTTTTATGCCATTACCATGCTCCCTTCACCTTTGGTTAACATTTTACCACATCTGCTTTTTTTTTGCCCCAGGTATGCATATGATAATAATTTTATTACTCTTATTATGTATTGAAAAGTAAGTTGCAGATAACATAACCCTTCGTTGCTAAGCACTTCAGTGTGTGTCTCCTAGGAACCAGAGTAAAATGACCCATTCCAGGACATTTCATATCTATACAAAATATTGTATAACATAGAGACCATTATTAAATGTCACCAATTGTTTCAATACCGTCTTAGAAGCAGAATTCCTCCGCCCCATTGAGATCCAGTCCAGTCTCCAGTGTCCTTTCTCTGTCTTTCCTAACGTGGACACTTTGGAAGAGTTGTAAAGCTGCCTGTTTGTGGAATGTCCCTGGATTCGGTTTGCTGGTTTTTCCTCACCATTGGCTTCAGGTTGTGCACTTTTGGCCAGAACAACCACGGCACATCCCTCAGGAGGTACATGGTGTCAGTTTTCCCCTTCGGGGTGGTGTTAGCTCTGATCACTTGGTGTTTTCCTTTTGTAATCGTTAAGTAATCTGTGGGGAGCTATTTTGAGGCTGTGCGTGTATATCCTGCTGTCAATGCATTTCTGCCCAGTGGTTTGACATTTATTGGGCGTTGACTCTTGACCAAACTCCTTGGGAAGTTCAGTTGCAGGTCAATACCTTGACTGGCATTTAGTAGACAACAGAGTTTGCTTTTGGCTGCCATTGGGAAACTTATATTAATTATGACCAGAGAGATTTTATTCCATTTGGGACAGAAATGCTCTTCCTGGGTTTATAGTCTGAAAGGCCAGTTTCATTTAATCATTTGTCCAGTAAGTATTTGTTGAGTGCGTACTGTAAGCCAGTGCTATCCCAGGTGCTGGTAATAAAATGATAAAAAAAAATTTTTAAGTTAGACAACATGAAATTGTTGTCCTCCTGGAAGGTACATTATACGGGGACTCAGACAGTCAGTCTGTACTACCTGGTCAGGTGGTGATGAGTGAAAGAGACAGTGATGAGGTGAGGGTGCTGCTTTAGCCAGGGCTCCCCAAGAGCTCTGAGGAGCTGGCCTCTGGGCAGAGACCTGAATGATCCATGGGAGCAACTGTGGCTTAGGTGGGAGGCCCGCCTAGCAGCGGGAACAGCTGGTACGAGGCCTAGAAATGGGCACATGCTAGATGTGATTTAGTGGAAGTGTAAGGAGATCAGTTTGTCTGGAGCAGAGATATAAGGGGGAGAACGGTGGTACATGAGTTTGGGGAGAGGTCTGGGCATGGTGATGGAGGGCCGCGTTGACCATGATAGGGAGCGAGTAGACTGTCCAGGCTTGAGGGTCAGCCCCTCAAGAGGATTTGGAACTCAGCCAGACCCACCCTTGATGCCAGCATGTGAGGGCCCGGGCTTCCCGTGGTGGTCTGCCAGAGGCTGGCCCCCAGGAGTGACCGGACCTGAGGGCCCTGAGTACAGCAGTGGGGTTTCTGCATCCAGGAAAGGAAGCACAGCAGGAAGTGAGAAATGGAAAAATGTCTTTTTATTTTTTCCCTACCACTGAGGGGAAGACAGGAGGGGGCTGGCCCACTGAGGTGCCTGTTTCCCCAGCACCATGGCTGGCTGGGGCAGTCTTTGACAAGCCTTGGCAGACACAGGCATGCTCCGAGGCCCAGCCACTTTCTGATCTGGAGCAGCCAGGGAGCCCCAGACTGTGAGCACAGGCTGCGTGTCCATTGCCAAGAGGGCTAGGCTGCTCTCCAACATCAGTTCTGCCTTTGTCCCCCGCCCATCTCCCCCGTGCTGTGGCTCGTGGTTTTCCTCCCCATGGCCTAGCCCAGGAAACTGGAATAATCGTGAACCTAAGAATGAGAGCTGGCACTGGAGGAGCACTTTTCTGTTGGGGGAAGGGGCGCTTTTTAAATGTTCCCCATCTCCTGCTCGCTGACTCCTCACAACAGCCCCGGGTTACACAGCTGCCAAGTGCAGAGTTAGGGTTTGAACCCAAGCGGATTGCTGCTGGAATCTCTGTTTTCTCCCCCAGCTGCACTGCAGGTAGCCCAGGATTTCCCAAGAGTCCACTGCCAGGGCACAGCGTGCCATTCAACCTATTTCAGGCAGCCTCCTGCCTCCTGAGATCTTGGTGTGCTGATCTCTGGCTTGTGATCCTGGGCTGTTAGAGGTGGTGGGAGTGAGAATTAAAGAACAACTTTTGCTGCTGCCTCCCTTTCATGGTCCAGGCAGAGATACCCAGGAAGCAGGGTGGTATTTACTGAGCATCCCAGTGGGCCAGATGACACGTGTTGTTTAATGTTAGCGACAACTCTGTGAGCAGGTTTTATGAGCATCCTCTAACTGGCGAGGAAACTGAGACTCTGAGAGGTTGAATAACATGCCCAGCCAGATCACATGGCCAGTAAGTGGGGAGTCATGTGTCAGCTCAGGTCCCATATCTCTGCGTCATACTTCTTTGGCTTCTGGAGCTGACAGAATAGGGGCCTTTGATCCTCACCAGAGGTCAAGTGCTAGGCGTAACACCTGTGGACGCCTCCCTGAGGCTGTTGGAAGACAATCTTAGGTTTTCAGTAGGTGTCGAAAGAGCACCAGCTTTAGGGAAAGAAGACCGGGTTCCCGCTCGCCTCTGCCACACCTCGCCCGCCCGCAGTGTGAAGTCAGATAAGTTTCAATTGCCATCAGCGCGTTCACCTACCCGTAAAATGGGGATGAAAATCCCCGGTGTCCTCAGACCTCACAGGAAGTGTAGATTGGTGGTTCTTAGGTGGGTCTTGATGTGTGCAGGCGAGCGTGAGAATTTGCTGGAGTGCTCAACCTGCAGGGCTCCTCTGGGTTTCCCTGGATGGCACATCTGAGCCTAGAGTAAGGGGTCAGGGAGGTCACGGGTTTTTTGAGAAACATCCCACTGATCTTAAACCTCGTTTTTCTTTCCTGTCCCTAATATCTTTGTTGAAGCACCATATACACTGAGTAAATGTTAGAGTAGTGCTAACAGTTGTAGCAGAGGTTATTAGAAATAGAGAAAGCGACTTAACCAAAACAAGGCTGTATTTGACCAGGACCCTGGCCTAGAGTCTGTTTAGGAAAACTACACAATTTCCTTCTTGGGAAAACAGTCGTTCTCAGCTATGGCATTTTTATCTGGGGACATTTGGCAACGTCTGGAGACATGCTTGGTTGTCACAAGTGGAGAGGGGGTTTTACTAGCATTCTGGTGGGAGCCTGCAAGGCTGCTAAACACCCTGCAGTGCACAGATAGCCCACAACAGAAAGATAGATAGGCCAGCGATGGTGGTATCAAGGCTGAGAAGCTGTGGATTAAAGGGAGGTGGCTCAGCTGGTTGGAGCGTCATCCTGTACACCAGAAGGTCACAGGTTTGATTCCTGGTCAGGGCACATGGGGAAGCAGCTGATCAATGTATCTCGCACATCAGTGTCTGTCTGTCTCTCTCCTCCTAAAAAAAAAAAAAAAAAAACCAACACAAAAACCCCCACAAAACAAACAAACAAACCAATTAAAAAACGGCCATCACTCACAGAGTAAACATTTACTATGTCAGACATTGTCCTAAGTGCTTTACAGGCTTTAGCTCATTTAATCCTCTCAATCCTGTGACACAAGAGCTATTATCCTCAGGTGGCAATGGGGAAGCAGGGGCCATGGGAGAGGTTGAACAACCGGACCAGTGTCCGGGTCCTGAGGAAGGAGCAGGAGAGCCAGGACTTGAATTCAATCAGGCTCCAGGGCCGGGGCCTTTAACCACTGTGCCCTCCTGCACTGCTTGGCACTAAGAGGGCTGCTTGGCTTTAAAGTAGATTTTCAGCTTCAGGTCCAGAAACTCACATACCTGGGAATTTGGTGTCTGAGCAGAGCCTGCAACGTTTCATTTCTGTGCCTAGAAGACAAAGGGGAAGGACAAGGGGTAGGGTGGTGAGTTTCCCAGATTCCGAGTACGGCCCAGCTTATGAATTTAGTGGCACAAGGCAGCTTGTGGGAATGGATCATGGGTGACTAGAACCTCAGCCTTCCCTGCCTTTGTCAGGGAATCAGAGGCGGGGCAGAGAATCGACCTAACTCTGCAGGCCGGTCACATTGTGTCATTGCAGATGTAAAGACAACTGTGGTTTACCCAGCCACAGAGAAGCACCTGCAGAAGTACTTGCGCCAGGACCTCCACCTGGTGAGAGAGACAGGAGGCGACTACAAGAATGTCACCTTACCCTACCTGGAGTCCCAGAGCCTCAGCATCCAGGTGACGTGGACTGGCCCAGAGGGGTCACATAGCATGCTGTCCCAGTCAGTGGCTAGTGCATCTTTCTCCAGCATCTGTCAGGGCCTTACCAGGAGCCAGCACTGCTCTGCAACATAGCCTGTGGGGTTGTGGCTGAGAGCACAGTGGCTCCCTGTCTTGACACCACCTTCATGGAGCTTCCTACCTCACCAGGAATCAGATAGTACACAAGCATATAAATGACCGCATGAGATGCGACATCATGAGTGCTGTGGAGAAAACTCAGCAAGAAAGGGACATAAACAGTCCTTCAGTGAGGTGGCCACTGTTTTACAGAGGATAGTCATTGATAAGGGAATTGACTCTGGTCCTGGGCATGTCCCCGAGGCTCCCAAAGCAACCTAGTCCATTAGAGAATCTGTATCTACCCTACAGTAGCCCTGGTCAGTCTTAGAGTGGCTGTGCCCTCGCCAGGTATCTGTGAATCGGCAAAGACTGATGCCTGATTAGGCCGTCACAGTCCAGACTTTTATTCCCAGTTCTGCCTGCAGCAAACCTGCCTCCAGAAGTTGAATCTCAGAGTAAAACTTCCCCTTCGCTAGTCTCCCCTGCATTCATTCCATGGAGGGCAGGACCCTGTTGTCCTTGCGGGGCACAGTGCAGGCCTCTTCTCCCAGGGGCTATGTTTGGGGGTTGGCAGCATCTTGTGAGTGTCTTTGGCAACTGGACCAGATGCAAGGCCATTTAACTAAGATCCCCATTTCTCCTTGGCATGGGCCTGGTGCCAACCAGCACTTCTGCCTGGAATTGGCCCCGGGTGAACACTCGGTATTAAGTATGACAGATGAGTTGTTTTCTTGCCTGCTCTCTAGCTCCCACTGTCTCCATGTCTTGATCACTCACCCTTGTTTCTCTTGGAGCATTTCTCACTCACTCTCCCCAGGATTCAGGTGACAGTTGTGGAGGGTGTTCTAATATGGGAAACTCACAGCCATTTCTCTCAGACCCAAAAGAAGGGCGGGTGTTCTGGGTGTAGGGGCAGTGTGAGCTGAATGTCCTCAGGAAGAGGAAGGAAAGGGAGGCTGGCAGGCTGGGCGGAGGCCTGTCTCTTCACCATGGTTCCCTGTGCTGCATTTGCACAAGGTTCCTCTGGCTCAAGCGGGCTTGATTTTTTTTTATCCTTTTAAGTCCCAGCACTTGCTCTGTCTTTTAAGTGGAAAAGAGATATATTACCATTTTCCTAGATAGCTTCTGCTGTCAGGATCCCAGAGGGATCTCCTGGAATATATGTTCTATGTATTGGTTGCATATCTATGAGATTCAAGAGAGGAAGCCCTTAATGTAGTCAGTGTGAGTCGTATATGTCCCTTTTTATACCCCATCATTCAGATCCTTTTGGAAAATAGTACAACAGAATTCACTACTCTGCCGACTTCTGTTTGACACGAGCACTTGTGTGTTCTTTCTTGGCTATTTCTAGCAAGTTTTCAAGTACTCAGCTTAACTGGCAACAGTCATCGAATTTACTGAGCATCTACTCTGTACCAGGCCCTGTGCTAGGCCCAGGAGGGTCACCAAGGTAAACCCTACAATGCCCCTGTTGTCTTAAAGGAAGATAGATGTGTAGTCAGACAGTTGCCATATAATGAGATCAGTACTTGGTAGCTCAGTGGTGACACAGAGTGGGGGAGGTGGTGGCCAGCTCTGATAGTGGAGCAGGAAGACTGAAGCGCGGTGTGGGTCTGACGAGGCGGAGGCCGCAGGAAGGCGTCAGCAGCGATTGGAGGGGCCGGGCGTAGGAACTGGTAGGTGTGGAGAAGTGAGGAGCCTGGGATGGCGCCAGGCCTGGCCTGAGTGATGAGTGGACAGATGGGACTGTCAGCTGGGATGGGGGACAAGCACAGCAGCAAGGGTTTATGTGGAAGACAGTGAGTTCAGTGTGGGACTTGCTGAGACCTCATGAGGTGCCAGAAGCTGTTCCAAGCATTTTCTGTGCATCGCCTCAAAAAATCTTCACAGTAGCCCTTCGGTGATGGGAATTCTAAGCCAGGCGGTCTGGCCCGAGGGTCTGTGCTCTTAGCCAACTACCCTGTTTGGCTCCTCACATTCAGTACTTGTAACTTATAGTGAAAATGCCCCGGGGAAAATGCAGTGGGATATCTGGACTCAGAGCATGAGAGATCCTCAGGCTAAAAACCGATCCATGAGTCACCGGGTCAGGGCTCAGGCTAGCCAGGTTTGGGTTCTCATTCGGCCATCTCAGAGCAGTGTGACCCTGTCCTTCACTCTGGAAGCCCTGTTTCCTTATCTGGAAAGTGCAACCACAGTCCCGGTCAAAACTGAGAGAGGTGTCGTGTATCACGTGCCTGCTACTGTTTCCAGCACAGAAAAGGTGCCAGAGTGGCAGCTGCCATTGTGCACACACAGGTGACAGTTCTGCGGAACAGGACGGGATAGTCCAGAGCTGAGGCACCTGGAGGTGCAGCAGGTAAAGGGAGGCCAGAGGAGAGGGGCCAGCAGGCAGGTGAGCAGAAAAGCAGGAGCTTGAAGAGGGAGCAAGATGTCCCAAGGGTGGGGAGGGCGTCCGGAGGGAGTTGCCAGTGTCACTTACTGCTAGGAGGCCGTGCCAGGTGCATCCAGAGCCGCCCGTGCCCCCTCACAGGCCCACTGCCGTCAAGTGGGCGCCTACCAGCCTTGCTTTCAGAGGATGTCACTCCCCATTATGTAACCCCTGAGGTTTGTGTGAATTCTGTTCCCTGAGTCTCCTCCCCTTCTCAGCAGGGGTTCTGGCCCAAGACTTGATGTGGATTTAGGTCCCTCTCTCTCCCAGAGGCCTTTCCCACATGGTCTGGAGCATGGGCTCCGAGTCCCAGGCCCTGGGTTAGAATCGTGTGAACTTCCTTGCCTCTGCTTTTCCCTTACCTGCACGATGGGGCGCTCATGGCCCTGAGTTCCCAGGATTGCTGTGAGGACAATCCCTTGAGGCGCTGGAGCAGGGCCTGGCGCACAGTCAGACTTCACTCAACACCGCACACCTGCCCGGTGTCGCCACTCCGTCCTCGCGCCGACCTCAGCCTTGCCCTGCCATGAGCACCATCTCCTCTGCCCTTGTTCTCTCTTGTCCTTCCTCCAGTCGGACTTGTAGCCTCCATCTACCACACTCAGTTCAGACCAGGCCGCTACAGTGAACAGCCTGAGATGCCCTTTTTGGAGTAGCTTTTATCTTCTGCCTCTCTTAGGCAGGAAAGGGGGGGAAGGGCCAAAGCTTCTTTCTGAGTCTTGTTTCTTAATTACCAGCTTAACAGTCAATATCCCCACAGGCAAGAGTTTTGGTCCCTCCACCCTCCAGACCCCCAGAAAGCAGTGTGGCCAGGCTTTTCTTGGAGAGCATCACCTGTTTCCTTTGCATTGGGTGGACCACACGTGACCTGTCTGGGTCTTACCAGCGGGGCTAGGTGGCCCGTTGTTCCCAGCAGGTGCCCTCTGCTTCCTAATCCTCCATCTCAGATAGTGTCATTTGACCTTGGCCATGTTGGCCAAGAGCTGAGGAGAACCAAGGATGCGGACCCCAAACCAGCCCCCAGCCCCTGGCCTTTGCTGACACTGCTTGTGCCAGCATTTCTGGAAGTGGGCAGAGGAGCCCTCCACTGGTTGCTGGTGTCAGTGCCCTGGCCTCCGGTCTCACCCCCTCTGTGAGTGTGGAGGCCCTTTGTGACTGTGAGGCGGAGGGGGCAGTGTGAGCCCAACCACTGCCCTCTCTCTGGCTTTGCAGCAGGGTTCTCTCCAGGATTCCTGGCAAGGGTTCACTGACCTGGAAAGAAGTCTCATTTGCAAAGGGTGCTCAGAGCTGGGGGGAAGTGGAGAAATGCTGAGATCTGAGGGTTTGAACCCTGTGAGAGCAGGGCCTTAACCTCTGTGCAGGAGGTTTCTTTAGAGGCCATCAGGACCTTGATTGTAAACTGATGTCCTTGGGATCCACACAGTGCCCAAGGAAGTGCCCTGAAGGCTCAAGAGCTATGGGTCAAAGGGAGTGTGGGATGGCCGGAGCCCTGGGTTGACGAGAAAGCTGGCCTTCAGGTCTGCTTTGTTATGCAGGGGCCATATAGGCTGAGACTGCTGTGGCTCCATGTGGGCAGAGCTGCTCATCCCACCACTGAGAATCCCAGTGGGTAGGAAACCTACATATCTTAATTTCTAGAACTTGCAGAGGGAACCCCCAACCTGACCATTTGCTGTGGTCCTGAATAATGCAGGACGGGTCCTTGGAGACACTCTCCCCGGTTCTGTGGGCAGGGGAGGGGGTAGCCACAGACCAGGCCTGTGTGGCCACAGCAGAGTGTGTGCACACTGCTGACCAGTGAGAGCCTGAAGAGCCAGTGCCGTCTGCATGGCAGGGTCCTTGTGGGGACCGAGTGTCATCGGTGGTAGGGGAGTGAGAGCAGATCCTGGGGGACATGGCAGCCTGCGTGTGGACCCCCTGAGCTCAGTGGCTGTCCTTCCTGGAGTGTCGAGTGAGCTTCCCTAGCCCAGTCTGGGGAGTCTCCCCACAGGGCGGTGACTGGGTAAGGGCCCCCCCTCTCCCTCTCCTTCCAGTGGGTGTACAACATTCTTGACAAGAAGGCTGAGGCCGACCGGATTGTCTTCGAGAACCCGGATCCTTCTGGCGGCTTTGTGCTCATCCCCGACCTCAAGTGGAACCAACAGCAGGTAAGAGATTTCCTGCTGGGTCTGCTGGGAGCGCCCCGCTCCAGGTTGTTGGCCCACCTCAGTCCTACCTGGAGCCGCCTTTCCCACACTGTCTCTCGTAACCAACGACGGGAGGTCTGCGCTCTGCATGCTGATGTGTAACTGTCAAACATAGACGTTTATGCTTCAGCGGGCCGTTTAAAGCCCGTTTTGTCTCCTCTGGTCCCCACCCCCACCCTGTGTGTGTATAGGGGGTGGTCAGGGAGATGAGGAGATGTTTGCATCACCACAGGGGCTGCTCCTTAACCAGCCAGTTGGCTTGGGTGGCCACTCTCACTTTCTGGAGCCCTGTGGTGGCCTGTTAGCTTTTCTTTGTCTCCCTAGACACCAGCAGATCCAGACATGCCCATGGTCTGAAATAATGACAGGCAGCAATCATGATGAACAACCCGAGGTGTCCCCTGCTCTGCCTTGGTCACAGAGGAGGTTCCCTGGCAACCCCTCCTCCACCTGTGCCTCTCAGCTTTGTTTCCAGGTCTTCTGTGCCTGCTGCTTCCCACCTACTAAGGGGCAGTTCCCAGGCAAGCCACCTCCTCTCGCACAGTCCCTCCCAGTTCCCTCTCTCTGTCTCTCCACCTTCTGTCCTCTCGTCCTCACTCCCTGTACCTGCCCACCACAAGTCACAATGCGCCATCACTCCTGGGTGGGCTTACGTGCCCTGGCAGTAAAGAATAGGAGAGCCCCGTCTTACAGGATATGCTCTCCCTGGCCTCAGCCTGCAGTGGGTCGGGGGCCAGGAGAAGGCAGAGAAGCCAGAGGTGGAATCGCTGAGTAGGAAGTGGGGAGTAGACAAATAAGTGTCCCCTTTCTCTAACTAGACTCTGAGTATTCCAGCTTGGGTTTCCGTTCTGCTTTTGGATGGGTCCTTCTGATTTTTGTGCTGCTCATGCAATCATGAGACAGACAGAGACGTCATTCTGGAGGCTAGGCCTTGTCCAACTCGTCCACCTCGCCTGGAACACCTGCCCTCTTCTTTCTTAGCTGTGGCCTGCTCCTTGGGCCTTTGAGTCCTAACTGAGCTCACCTGCAGTTTACTTGGTTTTGATTTGGTGATTTCCAGACCTGCCATGCCTCTCCTTCACTGCCAAAAAGTGGGGGCTGAGAGCCTGTGGCTGGGGCACAGGGCCAACCCCGGGGCTCAGAGGCAGACAGGCTAGTGAGTGCCAGCTGTCTCTATGGGAGGCTTGTGGGGATTCCTGAACATGGCTCAGGGGTGGTAGGAAATAGGGAGTTTCCAGGAGCTGGAGCATTGCATGATTTGTTAGCACCAGGGAAGATCAAAGTGAGGGCTGTTGTAGTGGACAGAGGATGAGAGAGCAACTGCCCTCCTCCCCCTCCCTTGCAGCTAACGCCACCTCAGGCGACCATGGAGGAGGCCAGACTGGCTCTGAGATGCTTTGGGAGCTGGGACAGGCCCTAGGGATGCTGGTGGCAGCTGTGGGCGATGCCTTTGTGCAAAGCCTGTCTGCCTCCCGGCAGCCTGCTCCTGGAGGTCCTGGATGGCAGGCTGGTCATGGGAGGTGGGGATGGGATAAGAGGAACTATTGACTCACAAGATCTGAGAAGACTGACAAGCTTGTGATTGCAGGGTTGGTGCTCTGAGGGCCGTGGAGGGACAACACAAGAGAAACTTGTGCGTCTTCATTCTAGAAGCCAAGGCACCGAGAACGCAAATGGGCGTCCTTTTGACCTTGTGCTGGCAGGCATCCTGCCTGGCCTGCCAGTGGAACTGCCCTTTCTCTGTTCCCTTTAAGACAAAAGGCTTCAGGAGCTGCGCTGGGCTTCCAGCCGCATGTCCGGACTTGTCCTCAACAGTTGAGAATGGACAAACTAAAATGTCAGACTTTCGACCTGGCTGGTGTGGCTCAGTTGGGTGAGCGTTGTCCTGTGTTCAGTGGTTCAATTCCCAGTCGGGGACAAGCCCAGGTTTATGGTTTGGTCCCTGGTTGGGGTACATGTGAGAGGCAACCGAGCTCGCTTTCCCTCTCTCTCTTTCCCTCTCTCTCTTCACCCCGCTCCCTCCCTCCCTCGCCTTCTCCCTTTCTCTCTCTAGATTTATTTTTTAAACAGTCCGACTTTCCTTGATGACAATATAGGTGCCATTGTTCTTAACCTTTGCTTAATTAGCACTTGTCTCTTGCCATATGTCATTGTCTCAAATCCTTGACCTATGAGAGAAAATACACCAAAACTGACAGTTTCCTGACAAGTAGCGTATCCAGCAGGGAGATGGGCCGGCTGGACGTCTCTTCTTTTCCTTACCCCAGGTGAGGGTAAAGGAGAGCTGTGCATGGCGTTTTCTTTGAGGAGGCTTTCTAGTCACTTGGAATCTCCTCCTGCTGCTATTTCTCCCAGGAGTGTACCTTTATATACTTTCTATATATAGGGTGTAACCCAAAAATGTATACACACTTTTTAAAAAATATATATATCTTTATTGATTTCAGAGAGAGGAAAGGAGAGGGAGAGAGAGAGAGAGATAGAAACATCAATGATGAGAGAGTCATTGATCGGCTGCCTCCTGCACGCCCCCGACTAGGGATCGAGCCCGCAACCCGGGCATGTGCCCTGACCAGGAATCGAACCCCAATTGCCTGGATCCTAGGCTGACGCTCAACCACTGAGCCACACCCGGCTGGGCAACACACTTTGAATAATTATAAAGACAGTATTTATTAAAATACATGTATTAAAATACACTTCATTTTCAAAATGTAATAGAAGTCAGCTGTGTATACATTTTGGGGGGACACTGTATTTATATAGCCCCTCAGCTGATGGCCCAGGATTAGAGCATCTCTGTCCATTACCCATCCGTCCATCCTATAGATATTTACCAAGTCCCTAATACTTGCTAGATCCTCTGTCTTCCTGGAGGTTATAAATCCCTTCCTCAGTTCTCTGAAGAGATCATCTGCATACTTTATTTGCTTATTTTTTGCAGATCTGGTTTGTACATGCACATAGTAAAAATGCAAATGGTACAGAGGTGTGCAGTAAAGTGAGTTCCTTCGCCCCACATTCCCCTTTCCCTTCCCCAGAAGAGAATTTCCTTGCCCTTCCAGAGGTAGTCTTCGCTTGTTGAATATGTAAGCATATATGCTTGTGTTTATATAGACACACATACACTTTCCTTGCACATGATTTAGGTCCTTTGCTCTAAGGTTCTCAGACCAGGAAACTCTCTTTAGGTCACTCCAGAGTTGGAGGGATGGCTCTCCAAAGCTTCAGCCAATCTCAACCTTAGCCCTTAGCCCTCACCAGGAAGCTGTCACATCCACTATCCTGCCTTGTAAAGAGAGAGTGATCATGTCTTATCCCAGAGTGACTGATGGGCCACCTTCTCGGGTTCCAATCTGAGACCCTCGCCTGCCCCTTGTCTAGTTTTTTTCAGATCATTTCTCTGGCCCGGAGGCCCTCTGGCTGCCTGCAGAAAATCTGGGGTGATGTCCTACATCACAGAGTGGCCTTCTGTTCCCTCCCTTACCCAGCCCACAAGCTGACACCAGCACTAGGGTTCATTCCTCATTCCCTGTCAGGGGAGCAGAGAGTGTAACTTAATGTCATGTTTGGATTTGTCAGCAGACATCCTCTAAAACAGATGCTACTGTGATTTGGGAGTCCTGTGATAGTGACACATGGAACAGCTGAGGATACCCAAGACACACACGCACACATCCCAGGTTTAAGCAGTTTTGTTTCCTGGCTTCTCCTTGGGCCTCTACCTAGTGAGAGAATGAATGTCCTGGACACGTCTTGAAAAGGGAGAGCACAGAGGGGCCTGTGGGCACAGCTGAGGCCTGGTCAGCACAGCTTGTCATCTGTGGGGAGGTCCCCTGGGTGCATCTGAAGCAGACCTGGGGCAGGGAGCCCAGATCCTTGAAACTCTGGCAGAGATGAATGGCTGTGGCAGGAAGGGACTGTGTTGGCAGGAAGAGTCACAGTTGGACATCAGGTACCATATGGAAAACCTCATTCTCACTTTTTAAATTGGGGCCCTTCAGGATTTGGTTGGGTCCCCAGATTGTCTCGTTGAAGAATCAGCAGCTCAGACACAGGGCTGAGTGCCACTGGAGCCTCCCCAGGCCTCACCCTCAGAGCCCCCGTGTCTGGGGCCTGCCTCACACATGGTTGTGATAACCAGCCAAGGCCAGGGTTTGAGCGAGCGGGTTGGGTGGAGATGCATTCTGGCTAGAGGAGGAATTCGTCTCCTGTCCTGAGCAAGGTTTTGTTGACTCGGGCTCATTGCACTGTTGTGACCTCCAGGTTTAGGAATGATGCCTGTGGGCCCTGGGAGATGGGGGAAGAGAGGAAGGGTTAATTAAGGTTCTGGTGGTGCTCGTTGCCCAGCTGGGTACAGGCTCTCTTTCCATCCTTCATACCCCTTCACATGCCTTTGACTCCCAACAAATCGGGTTGTTGACTCCCCTTATGGCCTCCCTTTATGCTTTGCTGCCTCTGAGCCATTGCTTTCACTGTTCCCTCTCCCTGAATGCTCTTCCTCTAAACCTACCTCTTCAAGACCCAGATCACCTGCCTTCTCTTCCAGGAAGCCTCTCTGGATGGCCTTAGCTAGATAGTCTTTCCTCCTTCCCTCTGTTCTTCCATCAGTTCAAGCCCGATAGTGGTTACTGTGTACATACGATTAGACCATACAGTCTTGGAGGGAAGGAGTTGTCCTTGGCAGTGTCTTGAACCCCGTCAGCTCTGTGGCTATATAAATACTCCCACATGATACTCTTTAGCAGGAGGAATGAACGGAAGTTCTGCTCCTTAGACCATCCACTCACTCTGGGCACGTGGACTCCCATGTTGCTGGGGTCAGTCCTGCTGTGGGGTCCTTGGGGTTGGCTGTGACTGGCACTGCAGGCCTGGGGGTGGGTGCTTGCTGGCTTCTCCAGGGAATTTCAAGATTGGTGCCCTCCCTGGCTCTGCCACCTGCTGAGCCTGCTTTACCTCTGGTTTCTGTGCAGCTTGATGACCTGTACCTGATCGCCATCTGCCATCGCCGGGGCATCCGGTCGATCCGGGACCTCACTGCAGAGCACCTGCCACTGCTCAGGAACATCCTCCAGGAGGGGCAGGTGAGTTGCCCTGGCCCAGTCACATCGAAGCCCAGAGTAATTATGCTCCCTTTTCCGTGTGTTCCCTGTACACTTTCCTCGCCTTTCTCAGCAGGATGTCTGCAGTGGGACTTCCTCCTGGGTGTCAGTCAGGGCTACACACAGGCTCTTTCCATGGACTCCCCAGACCCTGTCGTCTGGTCCTGCCCCACCCTCCAGCTCTACGTTCAGCCACCTTTCCTCAGCCCACACTCCTCCTTTAGGTTCCAGCGTGTTTCTTGGGTAGCTGAGGCTCTGATGCCTGAATGCAGGAACCTCCTCACCTAGCCCGAGGGCAGAGGCTGCATTCTCTAGCACTTGGTATTTGAGATACTGTCTATCTGGGGTGCTTATTGAATTGAATGAAATCATAGGGGTGCTAAAAGGAGCCCTGAGGTGAGGGAACATGGGGGAACAGAGACTAGAATCCAAGATGAGGCCCTGGTTCTGACATTGTGGCCCAACCCAGGTCTTGACATTGGGCCTCACCTCTCTGCGCCTCGCTATCTGGTTAGGATCCTTCTGAAGCCTCCATTTTGTGGGGTTGTTCTCAGCTTTTTTCCCCACTTGGAAGCATTTGAGAGTCCCCCACACATACCCATGTTCCCGGGCCTGGCAGGCATGGGTGCTCCTCTCAACAAGAGCTGCTCCGAGGCTGGGGTGCACTTGGAGAAGGGCTCTGCCCGGGTCTGCTCTCTCTTGACCTCGACCCCAGCTCCGTCAGTGCCTTCACCTCCTCTCCTGCCGTTCCATGCACCTCACACCTTCTGGCTGCCTGTCTTTGCTTGGAGCGGCTTCTTTTCTCCTAAAACAGTCTCTGGGTGGCAGAGAGGACCATCTTTCAGGGAGATGGTAGGCCAACACTTTCACCTGCTCTGGCAGCTCTGGTGGCCTCACCCTGCTTCTCCAAGGAAGCCTTTGGGTGGCCTGGCGCAGGTCTCACCCTGCTGCAGAGATCCCTGTCGTGAGTGCCAAATAAAAAATGCATTCTGGGTTGTATTCCGAACCCACTGAGGCCCTAGGTTTTTCTCTTCACCTCTAACCTCAGGCATTTGCCCACAGTGGAAACCAGTGTCTCCTTTTAACTCCAAGCCTTGGAGACTCCAGAAAAGGGATTTGATAGAAAAACCCCTCCTCCTGCCCTGGCTGGTGTCGTTCAGCTGGTTGAGCATTGTCTGCTACACCAAAAGGTCAAGGGTTTGATTCCTGGAGGGCACATATCTAGGTTGAGGGTTCGATCCCTAGCCCTGGTCAGGGCGCATGAGGGAGGCAACAAATGATGTTTCTCTCTCACATTGATGTTTCTCTCCCTCTCCCCCCTTTCCCTTCTCTCTAAAAATTAATGAACATGTCCTCTGGTAATGATGAAAAAAAAAGACCTATTATGAAAAATAAAATTGTAATTTAAAAGAAAAGAAAAAGCCCTACCCCTGAGCAAGGTGGGGGCCAAGGGAGCCAGGGCCAAAGCCAGGCTTTACCCTCCCGCCAGGAGCCCGGCCCCATCCTGTTCTTGCACTAAGGCCCGGGCTCAGCCCTGCGCCCATCGTTTCTGAGCTTCACTCTGCTGCAGACTGAGAGAGGGAACAGGTTTCCTCCTACCCACTTAGTGCTCTGAGTATTTACAAACCTTCCCAGCCTGGGTCTGTGGGGCGCGTCCTTAGGCACCGGGATTTTCTAAATTTCTAGCAGCAGCTGTTTGAGGAAGCAGATGTTTTATCCAGGTTGAAGTGGGGAACCCTGATCCCAGCCACGGTCCCCTTCATTTGGGGGAAAGAGCCTCAGCTTGGCTGCTGTCACCTGCATTTGCTGATTCCCTAGAGAGGAAGGCAGGGACCTGAAGCATACAGCGGGCAGAGGGCTATGTGAAGGGTTTTTATTGGATGTCCAGAGGCTGGTCTGGGGTTAGGGCAGGAGGAGGGTCTGGTGCTGGTTCGAGGGCAGCACAGTGACCCCTTTCCCACCACTTCCTTCTCGCCAGGAAGCCATCCTGCGGCGATACCAGGTGAAGGGGGACCGCCTCCGCGTGTACCTGCACTACCTGCCCTCCTACTACCACCTGCACGTGCACTTCACCGCCCTGGGCTTCGAGGCACCTGGCTCGGGGGTGGAGCGGGCTCACCTTCTGGCAGAGGTGATTGAGAACCTGGAGCGGGACCCCGAGCACTACCAGCAGCGCACCCTCACCTTTGCCCTCAGGGCGGATGACCCCCTGCTCAAGCTCCTGCAGGAGGCCCAGAAAAACTGAGTCTCCTGGGGCTGTCCAGAGAACACAGATAATGGGACTGTGGGGGGGTGGGGGAGGTTTTAGTACCAGGTTAATTTTTTACATGTGCTTTGTACTGGCTTACTTCTAGTATGTGAATAAAGTATTGGTCTCATTTGGTGTGGACTGACGGTGCCACCTGGGAGATCTTGAGAAAAGAGACCAGCCCCAGGAAGGGGGTGGGGGGTGGCTTCAGCTAACCTGGATGGCTGCCAGGCCTGTCTCCAAATCCTGCACACCCATCCTTGCCCATTTCCGTGTCCTGAATCTCACTGCCTCTCCCATTTTGTTTTCCCGATTCTACTGCCACGTCCACTCCTTCCTGCCTAATGGCTTTCTAGGTCCATGTGTCTGGGAGTGCCCCTAAAAAAGCAGATATGAAAACTCTCTGGAAATAATCTATAGAATTTTTTGATGGCACTTCCTCTCCATTCCCAGCACTGAGGTCGCCCTCGAGGGATGAGTCAACCCTGCTGATAAACTTGACAAGGATGAAGGATTGCCGCCTGGAAGTGGGAGAGTTGTAAGGAATTGGGCGATGCAAGCCCCCAAAAGCCTGCCTTCGCCTCTCTTATTTGGTCAGTGAGTCCCTGGCCTTGAGTTTATTATCTAGGCAGGAAGACGAAACAAACTCGCAAACAGTGCACCAGCAAGGGCAAAGTGATGTGAGCGTGGTGGTATGCAGCCGCCCTGACGGGCTCAGGTCCAAGGAGGCACCAGCGTCAGAGGCCCCTGCTCCTGGAATCTCGAGGCCAGGAAGGGACTTCAGAAGGGACTGCAGGCTGATGGCCTGTGAGGAGCAGACAGAGGCTTACCTGGGAAGGGTGACCTCTGCCACTGCTCCAGCAGAGCAGGGACAGGGCATGCATGCTGGAGGCACATGATTAAGTGCATATGGCACTCTCTTCACAGGAGACCAGGATATCGCAATGCCAGAGGGGCTGGCGTGTGCCAGTTTGTCGAGTGTGGCTGACAGAGCCCGAGTCTTGCTCGGGAAGCTCTGAGGGGAGGCAGGATGTTGGGTTTTGCTAAGTGGTAAGAGGGAAGCATAAAGCAGAGGAGTGGGCAGCTCTTACTCTGCATCCCCTGGATCAAGAACCAGGAGACCTGGACTTACAGCCAAGCTCCATTCATTTTTACATCAGGTGTTTATTGAGCATGTACTATAGGCGAGGCACTGCCCTCGATACTGGGGAATGCTGAGCAAACGGCCAGAAGTCTCTTTGGAGCCAACATTTGCCCATAACATCGGACAAGACCTGAGGTGCTCTGAGTCTACTGGGCTGTATAGGGGGGAGGAGAGAGGATCATGACGTAACCTGCTGTGTCAGGTGTGATTAGGAAGCTTTATCATAAACCATGACTTGTTGATTGGCTTGTAAGCTGGACAGTATCCTAGGGGTTGGGAACACAATGACTAATGCAAAGCTCTTACCCTCTGGCTAGCGGGGCAGACAGGTGAACATAGGAGTGAAAACAGACAGCTCATGGAAGCTACTTTGAAAGCAGGTATGTGGGAGAGTCAGGTGTAGAGTTACTCTAGGGAGACACAGTATGCATTGGATCCTGACAGTACTCGGCCCCCTGGCCCACCCAGTGTGTCTCCAGCGGGACAGTCTAAATGGAATAAGGCATTGAGAGTAGGGAGGCTGCCAGGGCTGCCTTAGAGGGGAGATGTGACTGGGCTGGGCACCTGCTTTCCCCATCAGGTGGAGGTGACAGCAGTGGGACCAGCCGGCTTGGAAGGGAACCCTGGCTTGTCTTTTCTCCAAGTGTAAGAAATACATGTGGGGAGGTCTGAAGAGGAGACCCCTCTGAACTGTCATGAAGATAAATGCCAAGAGGATTGGAGAGGCTGCTGACCCAGAGAGGCTCCTCCTTCCAGAGTGGAGGGAATGTTTTCTTCTTGAAAGACCCAGTTCTCAACAGGGGTCTCATCTGGCTTCACGCAGAGGTGGTATGCTTGGAATAGACTGATAGGCGGCTCATCCTGGACCAGAGGAAGAGAGCGGAGCCCCCTGGGACAGGCCTCCATCTCCCTGGACCAGTGCCCTGTGAAGGCATTCCCCGCCTCTCCCTGGCCCCATCTGTCCCACGTCTCCACAGGTTTGCTCAGTCACCCATCAAATTTCCACCAAGTCTTGCATGGGCTGAAACTACAGGGAGACTAGACAATGGAAGCAGGAAGATCCATGGTACCTCCAGAAGCATGGTCCAAGGGATGGGACAGCCCAGGACAAGACAGTAGGTGAGGGCTATTCCAGAGGGAGGCCTGGTATTGCCCCCCCCACCCCACCCCCAGCCCATGCCCTGTCATTCTGGGAGATAGGGCTGGTGCTTATGTGTCAGGACCCTCTGCTTTTACAGAGGGGCCAGGCTCGCTTCTTTCCCAGCGCCTGCAGTGGGAGTGACCAAGAGCCAGGGAAGGAGCAGTCTGCAAGCTGGAAACTGCTCCGGACAAGACCAGAGTCCAACCCGCTGCCCCCAGGAACCCCACCCGTGGCCAGTGTCACTGCCCACAAATGTCACTGCCCACAGTGTTACTTTCACTCCATTAAACAGCTGCTTAGGTGCGGTGGGCCATGAAATAGATTCTGCAGACTCTCCGTCTGAGACACAGCCACTTGCCCTTGTCACCACCTGTAGTCGTTCCTTTGCTGCAGTGTCACTTAGCAAAACCCAACATCTCGCCTCCCCTGAGAGCTTGCCGAGCAAGGCCCAGGATTCCTGAGCCCCACCTTGGAAGACTTGCATACCAGCTCCTCTGGCAGGGCGATCCATCTGTCCTCTGCTGGAAAGAGGGCCGTCGAATGGCGTGATTTCAGTGTACGTGCCTGTGTCCCTGCCTGCTGGAGCGGTGGCAGATGCGCCCTTCCCAGAGCATCCTGGAGGGCTCCACGCTGGCCGCCAGCCCCCAGTCCTTGGCCCGCCTTCTTCCTGGCTTGGTCGAAGAAGGAAGGGAGCCACTGGCAGCTTGGCTGCTGCTGTTCTTTGGCTCCTCTCAGTTTGCCCAAAAGTTTCCTCATAGAACAAAATTGCTGAGTGTTCTATGTTTGTCAACATTCCTTCATGAAACAGAAAAATAACATTTTTGAAATGAGTTGGACATTCAAGCTCCACTTTGAGTGTCTCTGTGGAATACAGATCTCCATATTGAGAAATCAAGAAATGATTACATACAAAATAATACTTGAAAATGTTTCTCTTGTAATACTTCTATATCCAAACATTGTAATATATCTATTTTATTTCTGAATAGGTTGACATAGGTGTGCTAACCCTTCCTTCTCAGGAAGGACTAAATCTTTTTTTTTTTATTTTGGAGAGAGGGAGGGAGAGAGAGGGAGAGAAACATCAATCGGTTGCCTCCCGCATGCACCCCAGCTGGGGATGGAACCCAAAACCTGAGTATGTGCCCTGACCTGGAATTGAACTGCCACCTCCTGGTGTATGAGACCAACTAGGCCCCACTGGCCAGGGCAGGCAGGACTAAGTCTTTATTCCAAACATGTTAAATAATGTTAAAATGCCCTTTTTCAAATAAGAAGAGGGTGATAATTAAGGGCTGTTGTGTTTTAAATGTCCTCACTCAGCTCTATGTTCTATTATTATTATTATCAAAATTACATTGGATTCTGAAATCTATATAAACTTGAAGCTACGGAGTTTTTTTGTTTTTTTTTATTGATTGTGGGGGGTGGGGGGAGAAACATCAGTTGCTGTTCCAGTTATATATGCATTCATTGGCTGATTCGCACACGTGCCCTGACCGGGGACTGTATCTACAACCTTGGCGTGTCAGGACGATGCTCGAACCAACTGAGCTGCCCGGCCAGGGCTGATGCCACTGTTTTAACTGCTGCTAAAAACTAAGCGTAGACTGATTCTGTTTAAAGTGTTTCAACTCAATAAATAGGTTTTGAACATTCACCCTCCTTTTTTTTAGCAAGGATCTGGAGATAAAGCTCACTTGGAGCTTACAATTTAGTGAGACATTAATTATAAAGTAATTACAAGAGTGGTGAGTACCTGAAAAAAGCAGAGGGGGCTATGGGAGCTTATGCTGAGAGAAGCCTGGGCTAAAACTTGATGGCCATATGGCCAGCACAGCAAAGGCCCAGCAGTGAGGGGCCCCGGGGCTCAACATGGCTGGGACCCAGAATTTAGCTTCTGAGAGCATGGGGCGCACACAGGCAGTTAGCACGCTGGCCAGTTTTCCCTTCAGGATCATGATGAAGAAATGAAAGTCAATGCTAATGTGTGTGTATACTTTTCCTCCCACTTGCTAAATTCTTCTAAGCTGGGCTAATCAAATTAGAGAGACAGATTAACAGGAGAAAATGAAATTTTAATAACGTGCACATGGGGAATTCACATAAACATGAAAATTCCAAAGACAGTGAAGCGTCATCGGGTATACATGACACTTTGGACAGAGGAGAAAAGGGAGGTATTGGGGTCTTAGATCTCAGAGCTGAGAATGGGCCTTTTTCGGATAGTTGAGGAAATGCTGAGTACAAGGGAGGGCAGACTCCTAGGCAGCTCAGAAACAATGGGACACAAGGGTGTCCAGCTAACAGGCCCCTGCCTGAAGCCCTCCTATTTACCATCCTTATCAGACCAGGCTAAGAGGAGCATCCTAGGACTTCCTTCCTGATGAAGGATTTTCCATCTGAACCTCTTGGGCAGGAAAGGGGGAAGGATCAAAGTTCTCTCTGAGTCTTCTGTTTCTCAATTACCAGCTTAAAATCAGAATCCCAAAAGGCCAAACGTTTGGCCCCCTTCGCTACCAGGTTCCCTACCGGCCTCTCTCCGCCCCCCTTGAGCGGCAGCGTGGCCCAGCGGTCCCGGCATAGGCGCTGCACCAGAGCCAAGGATGAACCTGCTCGAGCCCCGCGACTGCTGAGCCGGGAGCAGTGCCCGTGCTCACCCCGAAGGGCTCTGTGAGGTTTACATGAGGGTTTTGTGGACACAGTTATCACACAGTGAATGCTAGTTGCTATTTTCCTGACATGAAAAACGCCAAAAAGGATGTCACCAGAGAGATTTGGGCTAGATATTAAAAAGCACTTCCTGAACTAGAAGGCCGTGTAATCCTAGATTGTGCAGTGGAGTCATGGCAACCGA